AGCTCACCTACCTTGCCCCCGCCTCCACTCCTCCTATCCCCCATATTGTTCCCTCCTTTTCCCGTGACCCCCTTCCTCCCTCGTCCTGATCCTCCGCATTATCGTCGTCAGTATCCCTAAGTCTTCTCTCGCAGCGCCATCGGGCGTCCTTTCGCGGTCGCCGCGCCACGCCTGGCAACGAGCCCGCCGCCAGGGCAAGTGCGGGGCCTAGCCACTCCGGAGAAGAAGGCGGGGGGAGAGGGCCACCCATACTTTTACTCATCCTGAACCCCACCGAAAAAGAGGGATGAGGAGGAGCGGCCTAGCCGCTAATAGGAAGTCACTGCGGTCACGGATAGCGACGTACCTTGCCTGTACCGACGTACATGGCGTGCCTTGTGGAGAAAGCTGCACACGAGGCAACGCAGTAGCCTCCATGCCGACAGCAATTCAGAGCGGTCCGGCTGAACGTCGGCCGCTCTGACCATCATCACCGCGAGGTACGCAAGCAGTTCCACTTAGACAGCTAACAGGCCTCCCAATCGGAGGTGCGCAATGGCGATGCGCTTTTTGCAGTCGTCGCGTGAGATGCGGCCCGCCTCGTAGACGGCCTCCACGGTGCAGATCCGCAGCTGGTGTTGTTTGTCCAACTTGTCCCGGCAACTGGCTGCGATAATGCATGCATGGATCTCGTGGTCGAGGCTCTTCTGAAGGCCGTCGTAGCTCAGCTGGTTGCCCTCGAAGCTCAAGCGGCCCTCCGAACTCCTCTGGTGCCCCTCGCATCTCTGCTGGTGGCCCTCGTACTCCAGTTGGTGGCCCTCGTAATTAAGCAGGTTGCCACTGGTGGCCCTCGTAGTTCAGCTGGTGGCCCTCGTAGTTCAGCTGGTGGTCCTCGTCTGTCAGCAGCAGGCCCAGGTAGCACTGGTGGCACTGGTAGTTCAGCTGGTGGTCCTCGAAGCTCTGCTGGTGGCTCTCGAGGCCGTTCTGGCAGTCATTGAGGAGCAGGGGGTCGTTCTCGTAGCTCTGCGCGCCAAGGCTGCCCAGCTGGTGGTCCTAGAAGCTCTGCTCGGTGAACTTGTAACTCAGCTCGTGGCCCTGGCTTCGGTGGTCCAGCTGCCTTATTGAGGCAGCTACGGACGGTGCATCGGCGAACCTGGCCGAGTGGCGGTCCTCACATCTGCGCGACAGCTTCCATGTCGTCATTTCCAGGACCGCGCGGTTGTACTAGCGTCACCCCTGCTGGTCGAAGTAGCTGTTCCAGCCGGGGGGCAGGGAGGCCAGTGCCAGTGGCTCTCGCAGTTCGGCCGGTAGCCCTCGTAGTTCAGCCAGCGGTCCTCGAAACCCAGCCTGCGGTCCTCGAAGCTCTACCTGTGGCCCTGGTAGCTCAGCGCGTGGCTCGCGGTCCGCGTAGCTCAAATTGTGGCCCTCGTAGCTCTGGCCGTGGCCCTCGTAGCCCAGCTGGCGGGTCTCGGAATTCTGCTCCTGGTCCTTGCAGTTCACCTCGTCGCCCTGGTCGATCCGCAGGAGGCTCTGGTTGGTCTGCCTGCAGTCCGCATGGTTCCGGTCGTGGCCCTCGCGGCTCAGCAGGCAGCCCTCGTGGGTCTCGCAGCTGTGCCTTTGGTGCTCGTAGCCCAGCTCGCAGCCCTCGTGCCTCGCAGCTCAGATCATAAGCCTCGAAGAACTGCTGGGGGCTCTGGTAAGTCTGTGCTCGTGTTGCTCGCTGCTCAGCTCGCGGCCCCAAAGGTTCGCCGGTGGCCCCGGTGGCTCTGGCGGTGGCCGCAGTAGCTCTGTTCGTCATCCTCATAACACTGCTGGCGCAAGCCAGACATATTAGAAATCAAAAATCACCCCCATAATAACCACCCCGACACGCGAAGTCATTCAGTAAACGCGCCCAAAGAGGGAATCAAGCAGGGCAGCGCTGTTTAGTGAACGCCCAGGGCCGCTTGGTAAACGCCAATTGTCCGGTTTGGGTGGTTTTTCCTCCCTTGACATATGTGCCCGCCGAGCCCGACATCTGTGCCCACCAAGGCCAGCATCGGACCCCCAAGAGCCCCTCCAGGGCTGCACCAGTTTGGACGTCGGGCTTCTCGAAGGACGTCGTCCTGGGCAGGACCTCGCGGCGGAGCCTCGGGCGCGCCTGCACGGAGGGCAGGTTACGCGTCTTTGCATCTACACACCACCACCGTTCTGGTCAGGGCCGTCGTGGGCCCTGGCATGGTGCATACGCTCTTCAGGCCGAGGCCAAGAGGGTCTACCATCCTGAGGCCCCTACAGGGGGGTGTTAACATAGTGACACTCCAGAATACGGAAGGCGAGGGGGGAGGAGAGGCAGCAGCAGCAGCAGCAGCAGCAGCAGCAGCAGCAGCAGCAGCAGGAGTCGAGCGACGACGAACGCGCGAGCCGAGCACAATCCCCGCACGCGCTCGCCGGGCCCAGCACCTGCCTTGACCAGGCGGTGACCGACGCTACCGGCCGGGCACGTCCCCCCACCCCTCCCCCTCTGCCCCGCCGTCTGCATCGCAAGGAACAGCTTGCCGATGTACTTCTCGAACTGCTCCTCCCATTTTCGGCTGCGCGCAAGCGTGAACCCTGGGCAAGAGTGACCCGTGGTGTGCGGCTCGAGGGGGCCGCGGGGAGGCCTAATCCAAGGCGCGCGCGCAAGCGCGGGGGGGGCACCTGCGGGCCTGTACCAGAGGGCACTCCAGCGAAGGGTCACTCCCACGGGTAGCCGACACTCGCATGCCGCGCAACCGAGGATGTCAACTACCCCGACCTTCATGCTGACCCCGAAGATCAAAATAAGAGGGAGGGAAAGCACAAGCAGTGGCAGGCAGGCAGGCAGACACCTCAACCCTCTCGCTGCACGCATCCCTGCGCGGCGCTCCTCCGATCGCCCACGCTCAGATAACGACGAACTCTCGACGTCGCCCCAAGATCCGCAGGACCGTGGCACCCCATCGACGACCGTGTGGGGAGTACTGCCCGAATGGGCATGGGGCCCCCCCATCAAGCCCCCGAGCCTGAAACCCATACCGGGGGGGAGGGGCGGGGGGGAGGCTGGGAGGAAGACGCGGAGAAGAGTCCGATGTGCAGGCGAAAGAGGAATCACGAAAAGCAGAGGACGTGTGACGCCGAAACGAGAAAGCGAAGCATTGGCACGGTGAGGCAGACCATGCGGGACGATTGCTTTTACATAGAAGAAGGGAGACTTCCGCTGCCCCTCGTGGAAGCTATCCCGCGCCAGAATTCGACCGACTATACACCCATGCGCTCAGCGACAAAATGGTGAACAGACGGGGCTGGGCGTGAAGCGCAGCACAGCGCACCTTGAGGACCAGCGGTGATGGCTCCCTGTCCCTCCCTGTCACGCTATCTCTCACGCTCCGCCTCCCTCCTCAATCGCCGCGTCGTCCTTTCCCTACATCGGCGACTCTGCTTTTTCAAGTCGCCGGCTCCTGGACGTCTCGACCCCAACCCAGGACCGGCTGTTCATCACCAGGCCCTCCAAAGGCCCCTGGAGACCCCAAAACGGAAAAAATGAGAGGCGACATAAAACCTGGATGCTCGTCCTCCTCCTCCTCCCCCTCGTCCTCCTCCTCCTCCTCCTCCTCCTCCTCCTCCTCCTCCTCCTCCTCCCCCTCGTCCTCCTCCCCCTCCTCCTCCTGGTCCTCCACCTCCTCCTCTTTCTCGCCGCTCCTCGCCGCCCCTCGCTCCTCTCCTCCTCCTCCTTCTCCTCCTCCTCCTCCTCCTCCTCCTCCTCCTCCTCCTCCTCATCTTCGCTCCTTCTCGTTCTCCTCCTCGCTCCTCACTGGCCTGCCCCCCGAGGTCTCGGTAATTTCCACCGCTGCAGGCACCCAGCGGCAGCTCGGACCGCACGCCCAGGCCGAGGAAAACGACAATAGCAACAAAAACGCGCGCGGGCAGTTTCGCTGGTCCTCTGTGGGCGGCTGGGGCGCAGGAGGAGCAACACTGGCGACAACGACGATTACGCCGACGATGCCGTCATAGCCGATGACGCTGCCGATACCAGTGCTGACGACGACGGCCACGACGACGACGACGACAATTATTTTAAGACTGTTCGCTCTTATTTGCTCGCATGCCACGCAGCATGTCAATCACAAACCGTCGATACCCACACCATTCGTCTTCGATCGTTCCCCCTTTGAGGGTCCATCGTCCTTACCTGCCACGCGTAGCTGCACGAGAGAAGCTAGCAGGGAGGGGCTGGGAGCAAGAAAACAAGCGGCAGAACCGGACGGGCGGGTCGGCGGGGCGGACCCTAACGGGTGGGTCGGGCGGGCGGGCCCAGACGGCCAGGTCGAAAAGGCGGGTCGCTGAAGTGTCAGACCGCGTGGGCCGCGAGGAAATTTCGAGAGACAGCGGCGATTCCTGAGTGTCGAGGATTGCCAGAAGTCCCACGCAAGAGCGCTATTCCTGGATAATGTTGGGGATGTCCCACGCGAGAGCACGATTTTGAGCAAAATATGGGGAAGTAGAGGGCGGGGGCCGTTGTTGTTGTAAACCAGGGGCCAGGGGCTCAGTCTGACGAGCAAGACTTCCCCTTATAAGCAGACAACCTGCGAGCCCAGGGAGGGGTACTTCAACTGGAAAAAGTCAGGTGTACTGGAGGGGAGGCAACACAACTTGCGATTTAGAAATGGTACTTCAACAAAGACGACAATAACAGCATCATCATCAGCATCATCATCAGAATCATCAGAATCATGAGAATCGTCGTCGTCATAATCATCGTCATCACCGTCATCATCATCATCATCATCATCATCATCATCATCATCATCATCATCATCATCATCATCAGCAGCATCATCATAGTAGTCGTCGTCGTCATCACCGTCATCACCGTCATCGTCATCATCATCATCGTCACCATCACCATCAGCATCATCGACGACAGCCACCACAACGACGACGACGGCGCTGACGACGACTGCGACGTCGACGACAAGGCAAGCGTTAACGACGACAAAGACGACGGCGGCGAAGACATCCTC